GTGATATAACCAGTGTTACTAATTTCTTCCCCAAAGTCTCAAAAGTTCCAGCATTGCTCAGAAGTCCAATTCTACAGTCTCTTCTGAGCCACAAGGCAAACGCTTAGCTGTGGGCCCTTATTTCAAAAACAAAAACTGAAAAACCCCTTACATCCTTTCAACATTCAGTGCTCACATAAGGTACACATTCCCACTCCTAAAGGGAGGAATGGGAACACAAAAAGGAGGGATTAGACAAAAAGTAAGACAAACCTCAGCATAGAAAACGTTAAGCCCTGCAGCTCCACACATGGTATCTAGAGCATATGCTGACACGGTGCGAGCTCCAGAGAACTTGTGAAGACCCTCATCAGGGCTTTGTTGGTTGCAGCCCACATGATTACCCTTTTAAACTGGTTCTGCTCACTGTTTTTGGCAGATAGTTCATGTTTTTTATATAGTTGCCTTCCTGGGGTCTTTATCTCAGCCTGGGCTTCATTCTCACAGTTCAGTGCTGTCTTTCAAGGGACTCTGACCCTGTTAGACATTGTCTGACCACTAGGTTTTCCTTTGAATTTTTGGTAGAAACCTCTTTACTTCTGTAGTTCTTACATTTGGCATGTTTGCAAAATAAGCACTGCATAGGTGGTGCAAAGGTCTTCTGCAACTTTGACCACAGCTGCTAAGTGCCTGCATGGCTGAGCATGGTGAAGTGCATGCTGGGGAAACAAGTTCCTAAGCTGCCCTGTGAGAGCAGGGCACCCTGATGATCTGTCCTTAAAACAAAGTCTTTTTAAAAGAGTACACTTTTATCGCATTAATCCTGAGATGCATGGGTAAGGAGTGAGCAATTCCCTTGATATCTTAAAGGAATCTTTCCTATTTTCCTGGTGCAAAATACTTGCTTTCTTTTCAATGACACTCATCTCTTCAGTAATCATATCTTCTTTAATCCCAATTTTACAGCAGCTTTTTTTAACCTGGTCAAACTGCAAGGTTTTCAAATCTTTCTGCTCCATTTTTATATCTAGTTTTCACTTTTTTTTTTCTTTCTGTTTTTTTCTATTTTCTTTTTTTATATTTTATTTCTTTTTTTTTAGTTTTTGTCTTTTTTACAGAATATTGAATAGAGCAGTACCATTAATCAGAATAGAGCAAAACAGTAATAAAAATACTTGCCTTCAAAGTATTGGTAGAAGGAAGTCCCCCTTATTTGCTATGGTCAACTTCCCAGGAGATGCTCAGATTTCTGGTTCCTATTTGCTAACGGGACACACACACACACACACACACACACACACACACACACAAGAGAAGGGGGGTAGGGGAAGTGGGATGTTTGACTCTAGGCCGTGCATCAGTAGGTTCACTATTGCTTAGCAGGGAGGCAGGCTGGTTGCTTGGTTTCCCAGTGTCCTAAATTCCAACATGGTGCGGATCTCAGGAGACACTGGTGGTTCTCCCCCTGGAAGGGCCGCAGTGTGCCACACCACAGCCACTTACCAGGGAGGGGAGGTGCTTGCTGGGCTTCCCAGGGTCCTAAGTTCTAACATGGCGCAGATCTCAGGAGACACTAGTGGTTCTCCCCCTGCAAGGGCCACAGTCTGCTACACTGCAGTCACTTACCAGGGAGGGGAGTTGCTTCTGGTTTTCACTTTGAATCTGACCAAAGCTTCTGGTGTTCCCCATGCCACAGTCTGAATGCTGTGCTACCCTGAAATTTCCTCTGCCAGGTGAATTAATTCATCATTTAAAGACCCAGCTTCCCACAGAGTCTCAGGTATGGAGAAAATACAAATACTTTAGTTTTCAGAATGTAACACAAATGACTTCTATTTCTATTCCCAAGTACAGTTTTCTTTCTCATGGGAAATGTCATTAACATAGTTTTTACTGTCCTTATTGTACATATGTCAGCATTCTGGTTTTCCGAGCTCAGGCCAGACTTGTCCATTAAACCATACAAATAAGATTATAGATCTTTTCTAGAATGCATCCCCACATATTTCTACATTATTCCTGCAAACCAGTTCTAAATCCTTCTAAACTACATCATCAATTACGTTACAGCAATGACCATGCCTCTCAATATGCATTTTCTGTTAGTCAGCTATATCCTGCTGTGACAAAAGACCTGAGAATAATAATTTAGAGGAGGAAAGATTTATTTTGGCTCACACTTTCAGAGCTTCAGCTCATAGACAGCTGGTTCCATCAGGTCTGAGATTAGACTGAAACATCATGACAGAAGGGTGTGTTAGACAAAAGCTGCTCATTGCACAGCAATGAGGAAGCAGAAAGGAAGACAGTACTGGCAGGCTACCTCCTTCACAGCTCTGAAAGTTTCCTTCCAAAAAATGATTTTGAAAGTTTCATCTTTTCTAGGGCTTTCTGACTCTGTGCTTCCTGGTTACCATAAAATGAACAACTTTTCTCTGCCACACACTCTACCACCATGCTTCAGACTCACTAGAGGTCTAAACACAATGATGTCAGATAATCATGCAGTGAAGCCTCTGAAATGTGAGCTAAAATAAACCTTTCCTCCTATAAGGTTTTTCTTCTCAGGTATTCTGTCACACTGCTGGGAAACTGAATAACACATATTGTTAGTTTAAAAAATTCTTTTTAATTAGTAGGTCACAATGTAAGAATGCCATGATCTAAACTATGAGTATAGTGATCATGAGCACTGAATCCAAAGATTAAGAGCACAAAATCATCATGAATCTTCACAATCACTGATATTCTCAGTATTCTGTTACAGGGTTAAGACTGACAGAAAGCCATGACTTTGTGTTGGTTGAGAAAAAACAATGCTAATAACTTCCATTGACACTACATGGTGCTGAAAAAGGCATTTGACTAAGATATTTCTCTACTAGAAATATCAAATAATAATCAAATGTTTTATTTTCCTTCTATTCCAAAAAAGAGACTTTGGGACATTTATATATGAAGCAATTGTGTGTGCATGTATATGCACACACACACATGCACATGTGTGTGCACACATGTGTATATGTTTTCAAAGTGTCACAATACACAAAGAAAAATTAAAAGTATATTCTCAAAATTATCATTTCTAGATAGGTTGGAGTTAATTAAAAGAGGTTAACATTTCTACTGAAATCTAGGAAAATCAAGTTCATTCCATAATAATTTATTTAAGACATCAGTCAAATGCAGACCAAGAAAAATTATAGGGAATAGAATTTCAAAGAGCGTAGAGTTTTCCAGAGGTGCTACAGGTCAGGATTAATAATATGGGATTGTCATTTTCTGTGAGTTAAAAGGTACAAATCAAAGAACCTAGTAGTTGTTAAAAGGTTAGTTTCTTGCAAGGCTGGAGTGACTACAATGACAAATGGAGGGCTTTGTGGCACATCAGATAGCTATCAATTTTGCTCTTTAAGAACTTCGCTGAGTTGCAAATTTGTACACAAGTAGAAGCTAAAAAACTAACTCAAACCCTCAGGAAAGCAGATTAGAATTCTTCTAGTTCTAAACTTCTTAGAAGATAAAAACCTCCAGGAGGGCCTCAATAGAGTTAAAAGTTCTGGAAGGAATGGTGAATTCACAGTATAAAGCTGTGAGCACTCTTTTCTTAGGAATACTTTGAAATCTTGGACAAGAATCCAGTTTTAGACTTGAGTACACCTCTTCTGCCATGAGATGAAAAATTAGTAGAGTTCTTGGAAGTTGTGAGGATAAAACTGATGCTTTGAGGAAGCTCAGACATAGTAGTTTCTGAGACTTTACAAGCAAAGAAACCAACAAACTGAGTCAAATTTTTCAAGGGATTTAGCTCAGTGGCATAAGTACCTGCCTGGCAAGCCCAAGGTTGTAGAAACGTTAAAAGGAATTCTCAGTCTTTTAGTGCAGAGAAGACAAATTTGCATCAGTCTCATGACTGAAGGCTCTAGAGAGGCCCTTGTTTTAAAAATAGTGGTAGATCAATTAAAATTTTTTCCTTCTTTGGTGCTTGCGATTGAATCTTATGGTCTCCTGTCTACCTGGCAACCACTCTACCACTAAGCTGTCCTAAGGGCTCAGATAATAATTTGAACTGAATATTCACAAAGATATGATACATCAGAAGGTGTTCTATGCAGGTAAACAGCGAACAGGGGGAAATTCTTTTCTTAATCCAGGCTTTAGAAGAAAGGCATAAAATTAATCATCAAAGTGTCCGTGTTAGTCAATCACTAGGAAATAAAAAGTAGAAAAAAATTAAAGAGCAAAAAAAGAAAGAAAGAAAGAAAACAACAAATCCAGGAAATTTTTTTTAATATTAGTAAACACTTCAAACAAGATAGACTAAAAAAACAAAGAATGAAAACACAGTTATCAGCATTATGGTTAAAAGGGGACCTTCATTACATGGTTGTTGTGGACATTAAGAAAACATCATACCAATTATATGCATGTCTTTGAAAATTATTAGAAAGAACAGCTTATCAAAACTGACACAAGAGACAAACAGAAAACCAGAGCAGCAATTTGATACCTTATTTTCTTGGGAAACTTGAAATAATAAAAATAAAGAAGGGCAAATTTAATCTATTTAAATTTGGGGGCCTCCTATGACTCTGTCAGATGATACTTATCTTTCTATTATTCTCTATTTTCTTTCTTCTTCTTCTTTTGGTTTTTTTTTTTTTTTTTTGAGACAGGGTTTTGCTATGCAGTTCAGGATGGTCTTGAGCTTACTTTGTGGCCCAGGCTGGTCTCAAACTTGCAACCATTCTCTTGCCTCAGCCTCTTGAGTACTGGGATTATAGGCATGTGCCACCATGCCCAGCTTATTTTCTCTATTTAAGAAGTCATTCTTTCAAATACACTCACATGAAACTATTTATAAGCCATATGATTGGATCGTTAGATGATTAACATACTAACCCAGAAACACTACCTCTTTACCTAAATTTATGAAAGAAAATAGTTTACAGCCTGATATTTATTGGCCATTGATTTCCAGCCAAAGAACTTGAGAGAAAAAGTGAAGGCTTAAAACTTACCTGATTCTAGTGCACAGATGGGAAGTATCAAGAGCTGGAAAATGAAGTGGAGTGGAAAGTCCATAGATTTATTGACAAAAATCCTCAGGAATAGTCAAAGTAGTTTTATGTTCTAGCTGAACTCCCACAGAGAAATTAAAAACTTGCTTAGATTTCTCTTATTCATTCCGAAAAAGTTCGTTGTGCCTGCCTTGAAATAACTTCCTGGAGTAGGTCAATTCTGTTAAGATGTTTCTATGAAAAAGTTTTTTGCCATACTGTATCTGCCTGTTGTTCTGAGTTATCATATAACTTACACACTTGGCACAAAAGAGACATTCTGGGAAATGAGCATGCTTTTATTTTCACATACAAATGAATCTTCGTTACGTATCACTTCTCCCCTACCTTCTGTTTGAAGAACAAAAGTCCCAAGGTTATATTTGGTCAAGTACGGCCCAGCCTTATAAACCAATATTTGTCTTTCCAACGTTCTTCCAACGTTCCAACATTATAGGTGTTGGCGACTTTTCTTATTTTTCATCCCTAAGTAAAAACATTTATCTATATTAATTCTCAAAGTCCCATTCCCCAGCAGTGAGCTACTTTCTTAGTTAATAAAGTAAAGCAACCTTAGTTTCTAAAAGAATAATAAAGTTGATACTAAGAATCTATTATCTCTAGTTTTTGCAACCACCGGAAGGAGATTTCATAAAGAATAAGGAAGCATTACACACCCAGAAACTTCCAAGTCAACGAATGGCATTAATGTTTGTTTTAAAGGGCAGAAAATTCTGTGAAAGTGAAAGCCCAGCCCCTGACTCATTTCTTGTGGGAAATAGAACACAATATATATAACTTTAAAGATTTACTCTGACCCCACCAAAGTGCTCTAAAGAAAGTCATGACTAAAGAATTAAAGGGAACTATGACAATTATGAGTAGATGAATGCATAAAGCAAGATCAATTATATACTTCTTTAGATAGGACAGAACAGTGAAAAGAGACAATAAGCTTTTTCTCTCCCCTTTCTTATGACCCTAAAATCTTGGTCTTACACTCTTCAAGATAGGAGAACACCAAGGTAAGAGAGACTAAACTATTGGGATTCGGATTTGCAAAAATCCAATTGTCTAGTAGATTTTAAAACAGTCAGTTCAGAACTCACCCCCAGTGATGTCCCCCACCTCTGGCCCAGTAGTGCCCTAAAATCTCCAAACCCACAGTCATCTCAGATTCCAAGAAAAGCAGAACTCAATGTAAAGAGGTCACTTCCCAACCAAGAAAAGTAATCTCATGGGAATTGAATGTCTCCAAAATTATGAACTGAAATAATGATCAACCAGGCCCTGGCTTCCCCCTGCTAATCCTTAAAAGTTGGCTTCATTCTTTTGAGAGCAGTCTGGTCTGAATCCTTGCATCACAGTGCAAGGGTTTCCAGTTTCTATAGCTGGCGTCCTTTCCCTTTTTTCCTTTCCTTTCTAACTCTGACGAAGTAAATCAGTTTATGCCTCACACTGATGTATCCTGAAGCTCTTTTTCAGTGACCAGAGTCAAGAACCTACGCAGCCTGAGTAGAGGTTTATATCTTCTCTTTATGGGACAATCTCAGTACCATCCAGTAGCAATTCTAACAAGAGACTTCTTTTAGATATAAGAATAATAAAGTCTAAAAATGAAATGAAAAAAGATATTTAATGTAAAGGGAAAGCAAAGGATAATAGGAATAACTCTACTTATAAAAGATGAAACTGACTTTAGTGAGAAACTACCAAGAGAGACAAAGAAGATCATTAAATAATAATAAAGGGGTCAGTTCATCGATGGGATGTAATAATTTTAACATGTATGTAGCCAACATGGGAGAACCTAAATATAAAAAATGAACACCAACAGATCTGAACAGAGAGGCAGAGATTAGCACAGTAATATTAAGGGACATCAATACTCCACTTTCAATAGCAGATCATCCTGCTGGCAAGTCAGCAATAAAATAGCATAACTGAACAATACCATAGACTTAGTGTACCTAACAGACCTACAGAGAATATTTCATCAAAAAGTAGCAGAATAAATATTCAAGTGCACAAAAAATTCTCCAGGATAAATTATGTGTTAGGCCACAAAAAGTATCTTAACAAATTTAGAAAGTTCTAGATCATATAAAGTATGTATTTCTACCACAATGGTGTGAAAGTATAAATTTATAATAGAAAATTCAAAACTTCCCAACTACAGAAATTAAAAACATGAAGATCAAATCAAAGAAGATCTCAAAAAGGAAACAAAACCAAAACAAAACAAAATCCCAAGGCAGGTTTTATGATTTAATATGTAAAGACAATACCAAAATTTACGGGACATAGTATAAGCAGTTAGAGATAATTATATGACCATATATAAATATGCACATTTAAAGTTTAGATCTTAGGACCAGGCATTTAGCTCAGAGGCATAAGCGCCTGCCTGGCAAGCGTGAGATCCTGAGTTCGATCCCCAGTACCAGAAAAAAAAAAAATAAAGTTTAGATCTAAACTATCTTTTGTTTGTTTATTTTTGAGACAAGGTCGCACACTACAGCTCAGCTTGAGCTTGAAATCACTAGCCTTGAACTCCTGAAAATACTCCTGCTTCAGCCTCGCAAATGCTGGGATTATAGGCATGTATCACCAGATCTGGATCTTAACCTATCTTTACATCTCAAAAAACTAGAAAAAGCACAAACTAAACACAAAGTTAGCCAAAGGAAGGACACAAAAAGATTATAGTATAATCAGAGACCAGAAAACAATAAAGTTCAACAAAACTAAGTTATTTTTACAGACAAAACAATTTTAGAAACTCTTAGCTAGAGCCCAAGACCTTCTACTAAGATTCATATGGCTAGACTACTTTTTACTTTATTTTTAGACAGTCTTATTAAGTTGCCCAGGACAGCAGTCCTCTTACATTAGCCTCTTTTTGTATGTATGTGTGGTACCAGGGATCGAACTCATGACTTTGCGCTCGCCAGGCAGGCACTTATGCCGCTGAGCTAAATCTCCAACAACTACATCAACCTCTTGAGTAGCTGAAATTACATGCCCAGCTCCCTTGAAATCCTCACATTTTCATCTAAATAAATTACTCAGAAACAATTTCAACTTTTATTTTGTTAAAACATCTGGTTACTTTTATCATTTTTTAACCCCTTTACTTCGCTGTTTGCCAAAATTTACAGTGTTAATATTGGAAGATTATTTCCTCCAACAGTAGGTATTGTTTTGTTTCTATCACGTGACTATGCAAACATTTCTGACAGCAAAGATTAAAACTGAACACAGTCTTGGGCGTGCTAGACAAGTGCTCTACCACTGAGTTAGATCCCCAGGCCTTAAGAAAAAAAAATGTTCAAAAAAAAATTTTTTTTTTTGAGACAGGGTCTAGCTGTGCAGTTCAGGCTGGCCTTGAACTCACTTTGTAGCCTAGGCTGGTCTCGAACTCGCAGTGATCCTCCTGCCTCTGGCTCCTGAGTGCTGGGATTACAGGCATGAGCCACCACACCCGGCTGTTTTAAAATTTTGTAACAGAGTCAACCTTTCAATCTCCTCTGCCTTAGCCTTTCAAGATTACAGGCCTGAACCACTGCACCCAAATTGTTCATCCCTTCTTGGAATCATCAAACAGTTCCACAAAAACTTCACGTGAAAGTTTAAAGAGGTACCTTACATGCCAAGGAATTATCTAGGCTTCAAAGTCATAGCAAAACTTTCCCCAGACTATGTTATGAGAGTAGGAATACAAAATTTGGCTCCACGGAGTGACACTGCTAATTTCAATCACAATACACTGTGTGTTTAGAAAAAAAATGACTGTATTATCACTCCTACTCTCACACTGGCTCCTCCGGTATTACCCTCCCTTTCTTCAGCCACCAGTATCCACGTATTTCAAAATCTTTACTGCCCTATTTTGTCTAGGAACTTCGCTCTTCCACTAGAATTGTAAGAAAAGTTTTCACTGTTCCAAAGTTTAACATTAACATAAGCAACACAGTCTCTGGGGGCTTCTTTTCACCCTTGATTAATTTATTTTTTAGAAATAAAATTTATTTTTTATAAAGCTTCAACAGCCTTAAAGCTTTAAATCAACTGGGCATCTAGGGCAAAAAAAAAAAAAAAAAAAAAAAAAAAAAAAAAAAAAAAAAAACTCTAGTTTCTCAGCCAATCAAATCGAGGATTAAGAGCCTGAAAACCAATGGATGCAGACCAGGGGAGGGACTTGGAGGCGATAACTGTTCTAACTGCACTTGATCTCGGCTGTTGGTGGGCTAAGGAAAGGGCTGTTCTTGGCCTTTCTCAAACCTTGAGGGATCCTCCTGAGGTTCCAAACGGTGAGCGCTCCTTTCCTTTCCATTTCTGGAAGTTCACCTTTTCCCATGAGCTCTTCCGCCTTTTCTCCCAGAAACGTTCCCACAGTATTCGGATTCAGTCACTCCCAGTGGGAGCTTTTTCCTCTTCTTGTGGGCTGGCTACCAAGCAAAAGCGAAGCAAACACTAGCTAGGTTTTCTCCTCCGAACGCAGCACTGACCTTAACAGCATGCCATTTTGAGAAGGTCGTCATTAATTGCCTCCACGTAAGAGGATTCTTGGTCTATTAGCTATTTTTTGGACACGTTAATGCAGAGAGCCTACGTGGTGAACGATTATTCTTTTTCCTCAAAGAGCTATCGCCTCAAACTGATTCAAAACTGTGAAAAGTTACTTCAAATTGATGAAGAGTTTTAACTGCATTGAAAATCTTATTATTCTCACTGCTGCTGCTTTAACCACATTTCAAAAATTAGTATATCTTTGTAGTACATAATGATTACATTTATTGTGGGAAGTTTGTACACTTTCTTCCTTTACTCTTCTTTCCTCTCTATTGGAGTAATACAGCATTAATGAGAAAATTTAAGATGGAATAGTTTCATGAGTAAAGATTATTTAGAACAATTTAGAGCAGAAATTAGGGAAGCCAAGCTAAATATTTACTATGTAGTCACAGCCAGGATCAAGGAATTGTTTTGAATTTGATCATCTATATCTTTGAATTGCAGCAATAATCAGGACTTGGTACATTATATAATTTTCTGAAAGGCATTTATGGGGACTGAAAGTGAAAACACTTAAAGTGTTTTGTTTTGTTTTGCTTTGCTTTGTTTTTTGTTTGTTTTGTTTTGCAATACTGGATATTGTACCCAAGGCCTTCACACTGAGCTACATCTCCAGGCCTTTTTTATTTTGAGACAGGGTCTCACTAAGTTGCTGAGTTGTGCAGGATGGGGTCAAACTTGAATTATAGACATATGCCACCATGTCCCTCCTCCCACACTTATTAAAGTTTCAAATAAACACTTTAAATATGAGGAAAAGCTTATGGGAACATGCATCTCACACTTCTGAAAAGAAGCAAGGCCTTAACTATATTAACTTATGAAAGCATACAGGAATATGTAACTATAATGTAGGAAATAGTTTTTCTTTTTTTATTTTTTTGGCTGAGTCAGTATGTCCTATTCTTAATCTTGTCAATATGTTTTTAATCTTGGAGAAACAGTGGGCAAGTAAAAAGGTGGCATTGAAAGTATTAGTTTGAACGTTAAGAGTAAAATCACTAATAAAGTGCCACAGGCATCTGGTTTTTAAAAAAAATTTATTTTAAAGAGGGTAAAATTAAGCATAAAACAGAACAAAGCAGATCAGAAGAAAACAATGCAAGAGACACAGGTTTCAAAGCAAGATAACAGGAGACCTTCATTGTCTTTCATATTGTCTCTTGTTTTCTTCTAAATAGTTGTCCATATCTTCACACACAATGAATTCATACAAAGCAAAGTAGTATTAAACTGGTCAGAACAGGATGATAAAGGCATTTTAGGTCTTCAAAACCAGACAAGACGGAATCAACAATGGCTGCCATAATGTCTCTCATTCTCATCAAAATAGCTGTCTATACCTTTATGTATGTTGAAATTAAACAACACAAAACAGACTAAAATCACTCTGAACAAAGAATAATAGTATTGCTGGGTTTCACAGCATGATGCTACGGAATCAGCACTGGATACCTTAATGTCTCTTTTTCTTTAAAGTAGCTGTTCATTGCATCATGCATTATGTAATCAATTCTCATAAACTGTTTAGGAGAAGTTCTATTCATGTGTAAGTCTCTATATGTATACCTATCGTTTCTGTATTGGAGAGAAAAACAAAACAAAACAAATTCCTAGAAAAACACAAAAAGACAAATAAATAACAATAGCAAAGAGCCTCAAACACTGACAATATAGGCCTTCCAAGAGCAGAATATATTTATTGAAAGAAAGAAAGCTTCTGTCTGAAGAGAGACAGAAGGGGTCCCTAGTGGGTTGCCCTGTTTTTGTTTTATTTTATTTTTCTTTTGTAACTCTCAAGGTCTATCTCTAACTCATGATATGTTTAGTCAAGTTAAGGACTTTAGATATCCTTTCTGGGGAAAAAAAGCAACTCCAGGAACTGGTGTGATCCTCGCAGATAAGGGGTCAGTGCTAGACCAGCTGACCTGATTTTCATGGCTAGGACCCAAATTTTTCTCTTGGGCACAATCCCATGAGTAAGTATCAGGATTAGACAAGATCACTCAATCACCACAAGGTAAAAACAAGAACAAGGTCACTGACTCATACAAGACCAAACTTGCCCACTCTTGGCTGTAATGAATGACTGTTGTTTTTGTACCCATTTATAGCTTTATCTTTGTTCTAGTCTATTATACCCATAGATGAGATGTATTGAAATACCCAACTCAGGATCGTTCTTGATTTCTGAAAACATTCTACAGTGAACTCTATGTCCTTAGACCATCTCTAAAATTATTTCAAAGTCTAGATTTTTTTTCGTTTTTTATTGGTACCAGCGATCGAACTCACGACCGCCTGCTTGCAAGGCAGGTGCTTATGCCGCTGAGCTAAATCCCCAGCTCCCAAAGTCCAGATTTTGTAATAAGTTCTTTTTAGCATTCTTTTATTGATACACAGCATGGCTCTGCACTGTGAATAGTTCTCCTCATTGCTCCAAATAATAAACACATTGTCGACTACAGATATATTTCTGGTGATCTTTGGGTGAAGGGCTTGTTATGGTTCAGACTAGAATGTCTTGCAAAAGTCCAATGTGTCTAGAATTGGGGCTTTCAGAAGATGATTGGACTATAAGGAAATTAATTTATAATCAGTAGAGGAGAGTAGAGTGGGAGGTCATCATCTGATGGCATTTGATGGAAAGTGGTAGTAATTTATGTGGTAGGACCTAAAGGGTTTGGGAAATGAGGATGTGACATTGGGGATTATATCTTGTCCCTGACTTCTTCCGGACTGGCTCTTCTACTCTCTCTGCTTCCTGACTAGTATGAGGTGAGCAGCTTTCCTCTGCCATGTCCTTTTGCCATGGTATTTCTGCCTTGTTTATAAACACAAGGGAATATTATTGAGCCATAAATAAGAAATCCTGTAAGTTGCAGGGAAATGGATGGAGTTGTAGATTATCATGCTAAGCAAAGTAAGCCAGACACAGAAAGTCAAACATTGCCTGTTTTCTCTTACATGAGAAACCTTGAATGAATGAATGAATGAATGAAAGAATGAATGAATGAATAGAAGGAGAAATGATAAGAAACTAGAATTTAGATCTTGGAGGTGGGGAAGATAAATTCTTGGTGATGGAGACAGGGAAGATCACCAAAATGGAGAGGGGAGAAAGATGTAAAGTGATTGAAAGTGATCAAGGTATGTTAAATGCACCTTCCAGTTCCAAAAATTAACATCACTATTATGTATCACAATCATGTACTAATAAAAAATATATGTGTCACCAGATGATATGCATGAGGATGACTTTTTCTGCTTTAAAAATGTTCACATATATAATGTATTTCAAATAGTTTCATTAAAAGCATGCTTTTATTTAATTTCCTCTTTCAACAGGTTTTTACAATCAAAAAACCCACATAGACATATATATATATATATATATATATATATATATATGACACTGAAACAAAGCATGTATGAGAGGAAGTTCAATAGCCGACTATTTGCTTAGTAAGACAGTCAGATGAGAAGCTAATTGCAAACACTAAGAATGGTTCGGGTACTGTTACAAGAGAATCCTTAGAATTCCATGAAGGACATTTAAAGTCTTTGTATATAAAACTCTTCTTTCCGTGGGAGGTGTATGGAGTTACCTGACTGTGACAGTTATTAATTGCTTCAAACCCATATCAAAGCCTGTCTTATTTCAAACAGTAACCACCAGATAAAACAACTTAATAATTCTTAAGTAAATGTTTTGAGTTTCCATATTGTTCATTCTTGGCTGCTGTGCCAATATTTCAAAGAGAAAACTTGACTCTTTGGTGTTCTAAATGAGATACTAGAAGGTTGCAACTTGGTATCAACATTTTCTATTCATTTCTGTCTGGACAAATACAAGAGAGATCAGAATATTCTTCCCTCACTCTACTTCCCCTCTTTAGCTGCTGCCAGAACACACTTTCAGAGACTTAGATAAAATAAAGGCAAACTCCCAGAGCTCTCTAACCTGTCCCCACCTGTCCCCTGTGGTATCAGTGAGAGGTGAATGCTTAGCTGAAAGATCTTTCTTTTGGATAATCAGGTAGATGCACAATGGATAATAACTGAGTTGTGCTCAATGCTGTAAAAGAATAACAGGTGAAAAAAAGCAACAGGTGTTCCTGGTTGGTCTTTATCACATGGGATTCTACTTTGCCCAATTCATTTAAGATGAAAGTGTCATAAAACAGTCATCTCTAATTTCTAAATACCAGAAGATATCACCAGAATACTTACAGAAATAATGTGGGTTTTTTTTTTTTTAGAAAACCACGAAGAAAGGAAAACTATGCTTCTTTGATTCTCTCTGAATTTTGCAAAGATATAGAGACAGTTACAAACGGACTGTAAGAAACAATATGGACCATCACAGCGCTGACCACAGTAATTCTTCTGACATATTTTGGGCATTCATCGAGCATGTGTTTTTGAATGCTCCAGATGACCTCCCTGAAGTCATTCTTATAGTGTCTCTCATTTGTACTATTGGAGGTAAGTCTCTGTGTCTTCTGTCTCTGTCGCTCTGTCTCTCTCTGACTTTGTTCCTTGGATGTCTAATAAATGCAAACACACAATTAAAGCAGCAGTAGTAGGAAATTAGAACACTGTTAAATTTTATTCCTTTATCACAGTATTTTTAATCAAATGAATCAAAGAATAATTTGCCTCTAAGGAGAAAAAGACAGAATCTGCCTTGCATACCCTTTGCTTCTATCAGATTCGAAGTGCTCATACCTTTGTACTTAACAGGTCTGGGTTGGGTTTCAGAAACAAATAACTGAAGCAAATAAGCATTTGGGGTAGGCAGTCCTATGAATCATATCCATGTGATAAACATATGCCTGGCTTTTATAAGAACAATGAAGGAACTAAAGGAAAACACTTTTTTGGGGGGGTCTTTCCTACTTTCTTTGACTTGAGAAGGAATTATATTACAAAGAAGTTGAACAAATGAAATAGAAAAAAGTGCTATATTAATTATTGCTCTTTGATTACACTGATAAGGGTAAATAAAGTTAACATTTACTGTGGGCTTTGTAATGAGTAATATATAACTGGGTTTTTGTGGTTGGTAAATTATAGGTACTTTCTAATTGTTCCTCAACCAGGAGGTTTCATTACTTTTTTAAACTAATCTTATATTACAAGGTTTCTAACTAAATAATCTCTGATGTATAGTGTACAGAAATGCTATATTAAGTATTTCAGTAATAATCTAAAAGCCAGTGATTGCTAGCAATGTTCACTGAAGACTGAGAGGAAATACCATACATCAAAGGAGAAATAAAGCAGGAAACTCATAGATTAACAATTACACTGTGTGCTTACAGACAGAAAGTCTCAATTATAGGAAAACATGACATTATTAATGATAGGATTTCACTGTCATCAGTACTAACTAATCATAACATTAAAGTTGCGTAAGTATAGTATTTCACGTTTTTTCAGTAACAACATATGTTTTGCAGCATTTTTGAACATGCATTTGAAAGTCTTTCTAATTCCTCTTCCTGTGATACTGTTTTTACTTGGATGCTGTCTCGAACTATTAAGTTTTGCATCTGCTGAGGTGGGTATAATAAATGAATATTTTGTACAGTAGTTAATAACAACATGCTTGCAGATTTGGATTACAGAAATTTGTAGAAGTATTCATCCCTTCACTACCTTATTATCTGACCAATGCTTGTAATGTTGAGGAAAGGCAGGCCAGCCTTGAAAAGGCAAGGCAAGATCAATCCAAATGCAGTGAAGACAGAGCCTTAGTCTAAAAGTATATAGGCAAATCAGAAAGAGTTCTCATACAATACTGAGTTAGAATTGCCCATGAACTTTCAAGAAGAGTCAAAAAACAAAAAACAAAACTTAAGTAAGAAGTTGACTAACAAGAAAGGATCTCAGGGAAGTTTTGTGCTGCCAGTACAGGATTTTACTAGTAAGAGAATTCTGATACATTAAGAAACATCAATTGAACCTCTTGCCTGGATTTGGAAGTTAAAAGCTAGGCCAACTATAGTCAAGGAGCTACAGTATTAAAAAGTACTTGAGGACAATTAGAAACAGGTAAACAAGAGAGAGAATACTTACTAAAAAGTATATAGAATTTATTATGATTCATTAAATAGGTCAGTTTGTGGAAAAGTTCTTACGTAAATATTTTATATTTTGCAGACCTTATGATCTCCGTCACAGCTCAGCTCTGCCACTGTAGCTTAAAAGCAGTTGTAAGCGAGGCATACATGAAGTGCCATAGCTGTATCCTGATAAAACTTTATTTACAAAGACAAAAAATGGGCTAGATTTGGGTCAGGAGCCATAGTTTACCAATCATAGTCACAGCATGGGTATGAGAACTATTGGAAAATGACTGATGTTTCTTAACAAAATTAGCCAGTGAAATTAGTCACTAAATTATAGACAATATGTATTCATTTTAGAACCAGAAGCAGGTTATTATTTCAGGTGTTATAAATGTACCCTTGAAGATAAACAGTCAGTGCCTGCATCCATAAGACATATAGTAAAAAAGAGACCCATGGAAAATGCAAAGATTTCACCTACTATCTAATGCAAAAAAGATCTACTTAGTGTTTCCTTAAAGAAGGGGTGGTAAGATTTGCTAAAATCAACTAAATATTTTATGGTAAACTTCATTAATTTTTGTGACCTGCATTAACATTCCAGGTTTTATTTCTGGTAGACTTTCTTCTGAATAATCTATGTCTAATTATTTGTGATTTCCAGAATTTAATATGATCTTTTATTCTTTTGTGGATTTTTTGTGCATAATAAGCCACCCACTGGAAACACCTCTCATGTGTACTGAAAATTAGGTACAAATTCTCCTGTTCCCGTGTCAATATGTTTCTTATTCCTATTCTTAAAAAAAAAATAGGCAAAAAGAAGTACATTAACTTACTTCTGCAATTAGCAATAATAATTAGGTGGAAAATTGTAAAACTCCAACAGAGTCAAGACTTCAGCAATTATTACATTGTGTTTTATCTTTTTAAAATTTTCTTTCTCTGTTGCTAGAGATTGGGGAGTTTGGCATGTATTCTATGCTAATACGGGGATGGATAAAATATTTTTGTATTACTAGGTCCAAAGATACTCAGAAGCCATACAATGGATAGATCCAGACTTATTTTTTGGTATATTCTTACCAATAATTATGTTTAATGTTGCATTTGACTTGGATGTATACATGCTTCAAAAGTTAATGTGGCAGGTAAGTATTATTTTTCAGGAGTAAAATTCATTTATGAAGCCGAGTGTGGTGGCACACGTCTATGCTCCCAGCACTCAGGATTCTGAGGCAGGAGAATTGCAGTGAGTTCCAGACCAGCCTGGGGTACATAGGGAATCTGAGGTCAGCCTGAAGTACATAGTGAGGCCCTGTCTCAAAAGCAAAAGCAAAACAAAACAAAACAAAATAGCAGTGCAACAGCAACAAACAGTTTCTTTCCCTTTCACTATATCTGTTGTAACTTTTGGATGTTATTTATTCTTTCAGTTTCTTACACTAGGGAGACAATATGGTATTATACATGCAAGTCTGATTTATTTCACTTATGAGTATGGCCTCTAGTTGCATCCATTTACCTATACTGCTCAAAGGGAAAGAACAACTGGAATGGGAGAAAGAAGAAGAAAAGGAAAAGAATACGTGTGTGTGTGTGTGTGTGTGTGTGTGTGTGTATGTATACATATATATACATTTGTATACATATATATACACATACAAATATACAGGATAGCACAGATAATTGTACCAGTAATTCTATTAGTTTATAGAAAGGAACAATTTTCATACTGTTTGACCAATTTTGAGCATGCCTGTATCTGATAATCTGAGCAATTATTTTGAAGATAACAATATGCAATATAACAACTATTGTTAAATTCCCATCATCTTGTTTTGAAATCCCAGATTGCTACTTTTTGGTTTGGTTTGTTTCTTGTTTTTTGTTTGTTTGCTGTTTGATTTTTCTCTTTAAAAAATTCATTTATGAACCATGTATTAAGTTTGGAGTTTTTAAAAAAATTGTTCCAAAACAGAAAACAAAAATGAAAAAAGTATGGTATATCAGAGTAGTAAGTTTAGCTTCATCTATTTATTAGTGAGTAAATCATGTGGAAATTCTCTGGCATGCTGAAACTTATGGCAAAATCATGTAGAAAAATTCTAAAAATCTGATTTCCAGAACTTCATATAAATTATAAATTTAATACTCATAAACTATATGAGAGCTATTGTGGAGGTACATTAGTCTAGTAAAAAAATCTTGTTGAGAAAAATATGTTTTCAATTTAGTTCCTAAAGTGTAAAACTTCTTACACCCACATGCAAATGAACAGAAGCTAAGAGGGAAACCCCCAGAAACATCTATAATCCTATCTTACAATCTACAATGATTTTGTTTATCATGAGAGATGGGACTGTGCCAGGGAAAGACCTTAAGATAAAATACTTGACATTTCAAGGAAATAAAAAGTTTTGAAAGTATAAGACCATTACTTAAACTGCATTAGAAGTAAAATTATTTGAACAGTTTACATTTTTACCCAAATCCAAGCACATGGAGTTGAGAAAAGTGACAAAAAGATGAAATGGAAAAGAACAGAAGTATGAAAGTGGTCTGTGTATCACGTGATCTCTGCTAAGCTCTCCTTCATCTCTGTTCAGGAGGGGGTTAGTGAGAACAGAGTTGGAAGCCAGGATGGCCCCACTTGTGTGTCTGCTGGTGGATGCTGTTAGTACTTCTTGGTTCTACATCTGTAACAATCCTGATTATCTGCTTTTTAAAATAGAACAAAGAAGTAATTTGCTTTTTCTGTTATAAAATTCTTTTGCAGTTACTTTTAATTACAATTCCTGGCTTTGCATTTAATTATATGTTAATTTTTTGGTATCTGAAATCTCTGAATATATTAAATTTGAGCACCATACAATTGTCACTATTTTCATGTATCCTTATGAGTTCAGATCCCATGATAACTGCAGCTTCCATAAAAGATCTTGGTAGGTATACTTTTCTCTTTTTCTATATTAGGAGATCATGTTTGGCAATTGATGTGTCTTAGTTTTAAAATCTCTGGTGTGTGGTAGCTTTTCACTGTGTGAAGTTATGTAGTAAGAGATTATATAATTAAAATTAAAAATTAAAAAAAGAGATTATAGACTGAAATTTTAGCAGAGATTCTGGAAGTGATGCTTAGGACAGAAGGAAATGCCAGTATCCAAGAAGACCACTATATTCTATTGTGGACTAGGGCAGAAGATGACTTAGAATACTTATATTCTATATGCTTCTACCTTGAGGCAACAGAAGAGTTCTGAGTATTACAATATTGATTAAATTTTGGTTTGCCCAAATTTGTTGTTCTTTGAAAACACTCATTAGGATAATGATGTTTAAAGAAAAAATGTCTTGGAGGTCATTATCACATTACAGAGCAAAAGCTTAAAAAGTAAAAACAATAAAATTGCTGGCAACGTGGTTGCAGTACAAAATATTTTAGGAGAGATAAATCTATATTGAAAGATAAAGTGCCAAGTTAGTTTAACCCAGACAATCAAAATATTTCAAGAGCCTCACACAAGGAAAAAAAAAATCTTCAAAACTGTTTCAGTGGCTAAAAATAATGCTTTAAAATAGAATATTAACAGGACACATCTGTGCATGCCCATGTACACATGCGACAACAGTGGCACACATACATAATTTTATAATTTCATTTGCACTGTATGGGAAATTAAAGGAGAAAGAGCTGCTTGAGGCAAGTAGAAACAGTATGAATCATACACTAAGTGTAAATCTATGAATAAAGGAAAGTCATGCTCAACACAAGATTAAGAGAGTGAGGTGAGAGGACAGGAGGAGTAACTGATCCTCACCAAGCCTTCCGTTCCCGTCTTCCTCTCTGTGCTCTTTCACCCCACATCTCTATCTCTCTGTGGTTTTGTCAGAACCAACACGGTCTGCTCAAAGATTTGAGGGAGGAGTGCTACAATGTAAAGGAGCTGATTCTACAACTTTCTTGCGACTTATCATCTTGTCATCTGCTATGTCACTGATTTTCTAGCCTGCTATGGTGGAGTTTATTCTATTTGTTATATCCTAAATTTTGGCCATCTTGTGTTTTTTTCTGGAGTTTATTTTTTTTTTCACTTTGATTCTTTCAAAAAAATTTAAGGCATTTCTCAGCATTGTTGCTTGAGTTTGCAAAACAAGATTTATATGTTTATAAATTCACAAATACACATACATTTTGTACATACAAATATATTCTTTATATATCTGTATGTTATACATACAATTATATTTTGAGGCTATTTAGGTTCAAAAAATAATCTGTCCAAGACTATGTGTATAGTAACCGATGTCTTGAGTTTTTATTGTTCTTTGACGTATGTCCCCCAAATTTTTATTTATTTACTAATATTCTTTTTCTAGGCTAATTCTATTTCTTAAATGAAACAATTATACAATCAGTAGGTTTTGCTGAGTAATAAATTGCAAATGTCGTGTTAAAGAAATTTTAGAGTTAGGTGTGATAATCCCAGCATACTGGAGGTTGAGGCAGGACTGCCATGAGTTTGAGGCCAGCCTGGATTACATAAGCAAGTTTAAGGTCAGCCTGTACTACATAGTAAGACCCTGTCTCAAAACAAAACAAAAATCATCCCAAATATCCAAAAATTTGGGAAGCAGTTCTGATGATATGGGTTGGACTCTGTTGATTCTGGGTAGATTCATAAATCTATCTATAACCATCTGACAGATAAAGATCTGGGGACTAATTGATCCAGGATGGCATCAAACAGGAAAAATCATCTTTCCTCTGTATTGCTCATGTTTCTGTTTTGGGGTGGCCAGGAAATGCTGCCATGATGGTGGTAGAGGCCTGGGCAAAAGAAAGCAAAATTCTGTGCTTTCATTGTCTCATAAGCAAGCAGATGGATGTTTTTTTGCAGAGTCTTAGAGCAATGGATATAGGTACAGGAAAGTGAAGAGCTGGACTATCAAGGCCATTGAGCCCACAAGGGACCAGACTGCTGTGACTTTTCTTCTCTCTTGTCAGCAAACGTAAAAGACATGGAGTGGGTGGTTCACATAAAGAACGTTTGCCATATAACATTTCTCTCCTTTTAGTAAAATACTAAAGATTCTCAGAGTCATAGTTTAGCCAGTACAAGCACATTTAATGGCAGAGGAAGAACATCTAACAAATACATACACTTAAGAGTACCATCACAGGAGAAAATTAGCACTAAATATTTGGCTTATATAAACATAATGCACCACAATTAATTTGGTACCTAATAATGATAATGTAGACATATATTTCATAGTTTATTAAGTCCTTTAAGTTTTCAAACCTACCTAAAGTATAAGCATGTAAGAGAAGTTATGCAATATAAATACAAAGCAGAGAGTATTTTTCTACTTTCTAATGCAATTTTATTATTTAATATTTTTCTCACTTAAAAAAATACTCCCTCTTTGACATACATAGGTCTTTCTAGAAGCCTCATCAGTTTAATTAATGCAGAAAGTGTGATAAGCTCTGTGATAGCATTGATTTTATGTACCACCACTATGGATATTAATGTCAGAAGACAACATTCGGCAAGCCATAACTTATGTAAGGACCTTTTATTTCTTAATTTCTTAAATCCAGAATTCTGTATTTTCTGAAAGCTGACATGGATTTTGTAATATATTATCATAAATCATGCTTATGGACATAAAACAGTGAGTACTAATGTAGTGATTTACTCTTTATATGGTACTACCATACATTTTTTTTTTTTTTTATTTTACTCAGCGACGTGAGGCTTAGGGAGGGCTTTGCATGAGGATGCTTGTGAGGGCAGTGCTGCACAAGCCAGGTCTGAAGCAAAATGCTATATAAGGAAAATGAGAAAGGTATTTGTTAAGTGTGGGGAAACAGCTCAGAAGACAAGCCAGGTAGTGCATCTTTTAATAGTGAGAGGAAGCAGCTTCCCTGCCGTTTGCCCTGAGACTATCTTGCATGAGGCAACTGGCACAAAGCCAGTGAAGAGAGAAAGTATGATTCATGTGTCCATCATAGGGTCAAAAGGCAGTGCTTATGAACACAGAATTGAAAGCTGCTCAAAAGCAGAGTGTTTATAAACCGTACACCTGTACAGTTAATGTCCAGGACAAGATAGAGCATTACTAGCACTATTAAAAGCATCTCAGTGGCCCTCACCAATCAAAACCTCTTTCTCCTAAAAAAATCATTCAATGTGTAGTCTCTAAAATGTTGAGTCATGGGGAAGGCGAATGCACAAGACTCATTCAAAATGCTCATGAAATAAAATTATTATCACAGTAAGTTATTTACCTTCTTGTTGCATTGACATTTCCACTGATCTTTGAAAAGCCATCATAGCCTTCTCAAGAAACCCATAAACATACACAATCCCACTAATTGGATGGATTCGTTATTCTAAGGCTTTCCATAGTATCATCTCATTTCACCACCTTTATCCTGCCTCTTTGTGAAACACACATTTAGAAACTACCTACAGGCCACAGTCTGGCTCACCATTGGTGTCTGGATGCCAAATCATTAACTCTGTAGAAGTAGGGTCTTTCTATTACTCCCTCTCTCCAAAAGTGTAGAACATACCAAATTAGTTTTCTGACCACTAAGAAGAAGAGATTCTAGCTATAATTGTTTTCCTTGACACTGGAGAGTGCTTTGTTGTTGAGCATCCAGTGATACCACTGTTCCCCATTTTGACCTATCCCACCTTACATATTTATATCTAGTCTCCATATTGAAGACTATTGTTTCCCAAGAATATCCTTACTGGGAACAACTGCCTAATTTCTTCCTAAAATAAACTGGTCCAGGTAGTTGGCAGTTACCTTAGTTGGAAATAAGTCACCTTTAGTTTCTGAGACCTGTAAAGCTGAATTCATTGTTAATACATCTGGGCCATGAAAGCTCGGAACACCTGTGGGACATCAGCTTTAAGGATTTTAAATTTGCCACCCTGGGCACATGAGAAAACCAAAGAGCCACACATACAGTGTTTTGCAGAATGCAGAGTACCAGGGAGATGACCCATAAAGCACTCAGAGCTTTCATCATAAAACTTCCTGTAGATATGAGCTTGTTGAAGAAGACTAAGGTGAAAAACAAATTTTCAATGTTCAAAAGTTTCTTAAAAACTCAAGAGGCACTGGGTTTCATGGCACACCCCTATAATCCTAACACTTAGGAGGCCGAGGAAGGAGGATTAACATGAGTTTGAGGCCAGCCTGGGCTACATGGCGAAATCAAGACCAATCTGAACTACGTAAGAAGACCTTGTATCAAACAAACACAAGATGCTTAGAGAAACTGAAAAGTACCAAGAAATAAATCATGCATGCCAGACTGAAGAATACATGTCTAGCTACTAAACCTGGAGCAGTATTTTATCAGGTTCTATTTAAAATATATTGACTACAGAACTTCGGGGAAACTTACATCAGAAATTATATTGGCATTGTAATCAAGAGGACATCTTTGATATTTGATATAAGGGGATAAAGAGAATGTGCAAAGAAAGTGTTGAGGTGGAAGTTCATTCATCCATTCATTGATCCAACAATTACACCCTAAGGTGGGTGTGCAATAATTCCTATTCTAGGGCCTAGAAATTCACCCAAGCACAATTTCCAAATTATGTAGTTTTGATGATATTCAGTAGAACAGAACATTGTGGAGTTTTGTTTGTTTTTAGGTTTCAGAGAAATAAAAGCTGTAAGCAATAATTATTAGTAATAATGGTAATAACTTTCATAATGAAAATTCTACTGAAAGAAACAAACCGTCAATTGATTTTCCTTGCCACTGGGTTTTTGAACTTTTAATAACAGTGCTACTTTTTATTGCATATTTCATAATAAGGAAATTAATACTTAGTTACCGTACACAGAATTCTTAGCTTATCCAAATTGGGTGAAAGGAGTTTAAGAACAGTAATAGTAGATTTCGCTTGGATATTTTTCTTGGCTTAACAAATCTAGTCAGCAGACATGTTACTTATTATGTACTATTTTTCTTTCTTAAAGGAGAAAGCAACCTTCAAACCAGTGTCTTAGCATTTAAGATTCCTGTGTGCTATTGAGACCAGGGCCAGCCACTATTCTCTATTTCAGCAATAGGAAACACTCAACTCTACCACAGCCACCCCACACTAAAAACTCACATAGCCTAGAGGGCCACTTATGGAATTCTCCCATGTTCCAACTCTCCCCAGAGATAATCATCTTTCTATCTGGAACGTCTAGAAACTACGGCTCTCTTTCAGCCATCACGATGAGTCCAGTTGAGAAAGAATCCAAATCACCTCTGCAGTGCTGATATTGCCCTCTCTACCAATAGATGTTTATGGACAAGACTCATAAAAGGGCACTTTCCCTTTTGTTCTGCCATCTCAGGGAACCATTTTAGGATTTGTTTCCCAAATTCAGCCTTATTTCTTGTTGGTGTGGTTGTTGCTTTTTTTTGTTTTGTCAATATCTTTTGTTTTGCGTTCTGCTTACCCTACTGGGTTTGGCTCCTGGGGCTTCCTGAGCTCAGGACTTACTCCCATTCGTGATTTGAATTTTGCTCCTGTTTCTCACTCTCTACAGGTGAGCACTTCTTTGCCCACTGGTAGGCCTGGTTGCAGCTGTTCAGTCTAGCAAAACTCCCTGCTTCCTGGGAAAGGCTTCATAACAATTATGCAGTATCTAAAAATACCAATAACAATAAAGAAGCAACTATCTTTTAGAGCAGTAGTTTCATTTTTAGGATGTAGGAAATAATCAGACAAGCATAAAAAACAATAGTGGTAACAAACATATACTGCAAAATTATTTGTCTGGGAAGAATTTAAAACAACTGAGATGCTCAACAATAAAGAACCAATTATTCAGTTTAACAAGGCGGCATAGCACAGGAGATTTACCCAGCGGGACCCAGAGGCATTCCTTTTTCTGTTCCCATTGTGTGTTACATTAGCTCTAGAATATTATTTCTATGAGTTTGGGACTTTTACTGGAGTAGCCAAGATTTCCTACATTATTTATCAGTAAGCACTATATAAATATATTTTTTATTTTAAAGCAAATAGACCCCAACAAAATAGAATAAAGCCAATCAAAACAAAGCAGTGAAAGTGGTACAGAATTTATTGTATTTCTTAATGGGTTAGAGTTCGTAGTGACAAGAAAGCAGAGCAGGAGAGCACCACCAGAGGAAGGAGTGAGGGACCAGATACACTGCGCAAGGTCACATGACCCACCTAGGCACACCCCAAAGTGTGCTCTGTCAGTCTTGTAGGTGACCCCTAAACCAATCAGGTTAACACAATCAAGCTTAACCATCTCAATAGTGTTTTTCTGTTTGTATTGCCAAAATTTTGCCCAGCATATGTCCCTTAAATACATCCACATTGTAAATGATAGAATTTCCTTCCTTTTAAAGACCAGATACCATTCCTTGTGTATACAGACCACATTTTTTTAATCTATCCATCCATTCATAGACATTTGAGTTTACATATCTTGGAAACAAAACTCCCATTTAAAATTTAAAAATGGGCAAACCTGAATGTATATTTCTCAAAAAAAAAGACATACAAATATCCTTAGGTAGATGAAAAATGCTCACCCTCACCAATCATCAACAATAATTAGGGAAATATAAACTAAAACACTCAGATATTCTTCCACCTGTTAGAATAGCTTTTATCAAAATGAAAAAGTGTTGATATGTGGAAAACAGGAAACTCTTGTACACTGTTGGTGGGGATGTAAATTAGTGTAGCCATTAGAGAAAATGGTATAGAGATACCTCAAAAAACCAAAAATAGCTTAGCATATAATTCAATCTTACTTCGGGGTACATAGCTAGGGGAACTGAAGAGATACTGGCACTCTGATGTTTATTTCAATAATGAGTTAAAGATAGAGACAAAGAAATGCGTCATTTAAAATAAGGCAAATAAATTCTATTAACTATTTTCTATTTTCTGTCATAGACGATGATATTATGATAGCCATTTGGACAGATGTTATAGCAAGTCTCTTGTTTGGAACTTTCAGTTCAAAAGTGATTCAGTCATGGACATCTGACTTTTGTTATGATGATGTCAATTACACAATTGTCATCTCTGCAGTTCTGTACCTCATCTATTATATTTGTAAGTAAGGGGGTCTATGCTAAAATTAAATGACATATAACGATTTGAACTAACGCCAGGGGTTTAGCTCAGCGGCATAAGCACCAGTCTGGCAAATGCGAGGTCATGAGTTTGATCCCCAGTACAAAAAAAAAGATTCAAACTAAGAATCCACATGCTAGTAAAATACATAGTAACAATTTTTAAAATCAGTCTAGCTAGATGCAATATTTTAAAAAAATAATCTATCAAAAAGATAAAAGTTGTAATGTGCATCACGGAGAACAATGACAATGTACCAAGATGTGGACATCCACTATTATCATAATAGAAAGAATAATTTGTCAAAACTACAATTACATTGAGTGCTTTACATGTCTTTCCAAGAGAAAGAATTATACAATCAACTGGAAAAAATCACTTTGGTTATAAGAAGATTTAAAAAACAATTAATATGCTTATTTCATAAGATACATAAAGAGTTTTACTTCCAAAATAGACCCATATCATTTACACATATGGTACACCCTCCTCTATGTTTGCCAATTCAACATCTACCAACAAGATTGAATGTATTTGTACTTAACATATGCAGATTTTTTTATTCTGGTTATTGTTCTCTAAATACAACATAACAACTATTTACATAGCATTTATATCATATGTAATATAAATAACCTAGAGACAATTTAAGTATATAGAAGGAATGTATACAGTATTTAAAGCATACAAGAGTATATTGAAGGTTATATGCAAGTGATACACCATTTTATGTAAGTGATTTCAGCATTTTCAAATTTCGGTAGGGAAGCGATGTTAGAACTGGTTACTGGTAAATACCAAGGAATGACTGTAACTATGGACTATTTATGGAAATTAATTAGGAGAACACTTCAGTTAAATCCCAAACATTATTAACGATGATACAATTAAATTTAGTATTTGTCACAAAAGGAGGTGGGAAAGTTTATCATTCTAATTGCATATAGTTAAATATAATTTTCTTGCTAACTCAAAGGTCAAAAGAAAAATAAAAATAGGAGTTGCACAACTAGTGAGGTTATGTTTTTTAAAAATCTGTCATATTATTACCCATTTATCACAAAGTCTTCTCACAGGACTATGGCAGATATTGATAATTAAGCATATTACCATCTTGTAACACAGCCTCAGAACCCCATTTGCCCAAGTCCTGACACACTCCTACGAATGAATTGGAGTTCGCGTGTAAGATGATACCTAGTTACCAAACCTCCTTATGAATTCACAGGAGGTTCTTTAACTTCCTAGTGAAGATGGGAAAAAGGAAGTTCCCAGGAGAATTTATATGATGTGGTTCAGGAGTCTGTGAGCTCCAAGGACCACCTCTGTTTCTTCATTTTTGCACCTTTCCTGATGAATTTGCATCACTTGCCTCCACAGAAATTCAGCAAGTATGCCTAGTGCCAGGTGTTGGAATGCAAACTTGTAATCCCAGCACTAGGGAGGATAAGGCAGGAGGATTGCTAGAAGTTCGAGGCAAGCCTAGGCTACAGAGTGAGTTCAAGGCCAGCCTGAACTACATAGTGAAAAACTTGTCTTAGAACAGAACAGCATATGTAACGTTTTGACATTGGAATTATGGATGCTGTTGCTTTCGAAAACTGTAACATCTATACTTTACCATATTATTTTTTTACACTTTTTTTTTCTTTTTATCGGTACCGGGGATTGAATTCATGACTGCCTGCTTGCAAGGCAGTTGCTTATGCCGCTGAGCTAAATCCCCAGACCCTCCATATTATTTGAATGTTAAGGCATAATATACTACTTTGTTGAGGTCAAGAAAGAAACAACTCTAATAAAAGTACTTTTTAAAGAAAATACCAGGTTTTTATACTTTTTGATCCTTCCATAGTAAGAACACCTAAGCACCTAAGAACAAAAACAAATTTAGTGAACTCCAGGAGCTGCTGATTACCTGAAGTGAAACCGTTCAAGTAAGTCCATTACAGACCTCATGACACTGCTGGGTGTGAATCTGAGGCAACATACGGCAATCGTAGTGTGATCACTGATGATATTTTCTAGTCGAAAGCAAGTAGGGTGGCCTTTGTATTTGCACACCTATGGTAATATTTCATGATTTTTTTTTCTTTTACAAAACAGGTGAGTTCGTTAGACTGTCTGGAATATTTACTGTGGTCTCTATAGGACTTTTCTTAAATTCTACAAGTTTCAAACTACGAATTGGAACATTTCTTTTTGAGTGAGTAGCTCACATATTTTCATTTTGTTTTATTCATTGGAAACATTATGACAGTAACTACCTCTGCTGGCCAAAGAAACTAACCTCATTATTAATCCTTTCTGAAACCATCCCCCAATTTGTGTGTGTGTGTTTTAGGCAAAGCTTATAAACTTACCTGGAGTTCATGTTGATTCACTTTCCCCACTAACTTTTCAAATCTCTAGATGCCAACTCAATAATTTCAGTCTAAATCCCATCCTCACTAGGCAGGCCAGGAGTCATCCAGGGAGACTGTCACCTCGGGTGTAAAATTTAAGAGGGATCAAAAAAAGAAGCAACAATTAAAACAGATAATATCTTAGTGCAACCTGGCTTTCAAAAATACAGAGACGGTCGGGGATATAAGACACAGAGTCTGCTTGGCAAGCGTGAGGTCCTGAGTTCAATTCCTAGTGCCAAAAAAAAAAAAAAAAAAAAAAAAAAAAAAAAAAAAACCAGAGACAGCAAAGTCTGCATGAGGGCGCTGGCGAGCTTCAGCGCAGCTGTCTCTGCAGTCCCCTGGAAACTCAGAAGGCAGCACGTTTCCCACGCAGGGGTCCAGCTGCAGAGGCCAGAACACAGTAGCGTGGGAGGCGCTAAGACCACCAGCCAGCGGGGCAAAAAAAAAGGTGCCTGCCGAGGGGGCGGGGCCTAACCTCGGGGCGGGGCCTAACCTCGGGGGCGGGGCCTGCCGGCTGGGTGCGTCCTCCCAGGCTGCGGGGAGCGGGTTGCGTGTCTGCAGTTGCTCGCGCGTCTGGTTGCCTTGCTGGTGCTTGGGTTGCGCAGCTTTTACCCAAACCTGGAAACTGAGTGAGCAGCATTTGCCCATTCTTGTCATGTAAGCAGTTTCAGTGGCTGGGAAGAAAGGAAGAGGCCGAGCTGCCAATCAATGCCTTTAATATTGAGGCTGCTGGGTTTGGCGGAGGCGAAGTTACTGAAGTGGTGCTGAAGCCACCCCGACTGTCTCCTGATTCAGATTATAAATACAGGAGAAAGTAAAGATTACAGGCTGGTTTGAATCAGGAGTTGTGAGAAATAATAAAAAGCCTTATTTTATTGAAAAATCTGAAGAAAAGCCAGATATGGAAAGATACAGTAAAAAAATAAATGCAGGTGTACAAAGAGGCGTGAATACCAGATTGGAGAAGACTCCCAAGAGAGACGATGCGGAGGGAAAAAATGCACAAAGAGCCAAGAGCCAAAAACGCAAAAGATACAAAATCTTTCACTCGTTAGTACCGCCGGTGTGTTGAAAAAAATAGGAACTGGAAAAGCGCGGTGATGGTGAAAAATCCGATGAGAAAAAGGAAGAGAATGAAGGAAGCGAAGAAAAAAAGCAAAAGAAGGCTATCGACGATGACTATGACGACCAGTGCAGGGAGACCGCGATGAAGAAGAGCACGAAGAGGAAAATGACTTCACCAACTCATACTTCAAAGACCGAGATGAGTTTGGTGCTGAGGATGATGATGACGTGGATGGAGCAACCTATTAACCACGAAATTTCTCAAAACGGTTTTATAATTCAGCTTCTGAGTATCTGGACCAACTTGACTTTGTTTCTGATAAGAAATGAGTACCTGTTTTATTTTTGTCCCTGTTTCTGTGGACAAAAACTTGTTACCAAAACATGTAAATCTACTTTGAGTTTATACAGTAGTTACTTTATTATACTAGTCTGTTCCTAAGTACCTCTGCCATCCCTCTTATGTCTGCTAGTGGGTTTTTGAAAAATCTGTGTTCGAATGTGCCTAACGAGCCGTTGCATCTCTTAATCTGTTTCCATACTTGAACAAATCATTTGTCTTCAACTGCTGATCTTTTCTAAACATTATTATGAGTCGTAGTGACTTTCTATAATGTAAAAGTACACGGAGCACTTTAAAAACAAACTTGAAAATTTTTTTTACTTTTACGTGGGATGTACTGTACCACTTACTACATTAAGACTACAGAAATTTACCAGATTTCTCACAAATGAAAATTTAAAGAGATTAAAAGTTTTGTGATCAAAAACATGCACACAGGGAAAGATACCGACATGGATTACGTACATTCCACAGTCTACATCATGGTATAAAGAGGTTTTCATGCTGGATGAATATAATACTTGGATTTGGGGTTATTTCAGACCATACAGTATGTGGTGTCAGTGTAATAAGTCTGACATCTTCAAATAGTTGAGTTTATGAAAAATTAGACTGATACATCTTGTTTAATGTTGTACTTTGCGGAAGTGTAAGTTCCAGTTATATCAGTCTCACAGTAGCATAGTAAATAGGAGCTTGGTGAAGGCTGGAGGCCGGTGCTGTGTTTTTCAGGCCTCACACGCTGTACAGTTGGTTCTATAACAGGGCAGAATGAACTCAGCTCATATTAAAATTAAGATTAATCTTTTTTAATTTAAGAGCTAGTTCCCCTTCCACTTCATATTTTGGGGAGAAAATACATAGAAACCTCAGCCTCCATGAACTTAAAAATGCCAAAGATTTTTGAGGAAATTCATATTACATATTTCAAAAACAACTTAATATCACACACCAAAATATATCTTTCTCTTTGGGAAGTTATCACCCATTTGCCTGAGCAGCAGAGCCCTAAATTCAATTTCTACCTATAATATTAGGTTCAGCCTTGAGACTGAACATGGTTAAATTTCTATACCCTAGTTTTTCCACTTGTAAACAGTTTCCTATAAAAGTTTTTAAATACCAGAATTTCACCTTATTATATATACATTCTCTTTGCTTATAGAAATGAACAGGCTTTAAATTTGGTTCTTACCTTCTAATCAGTCATAGCTGTAACTAAAAACACAGTTTTAAGAAACATGTTTTCCTCATAAAATGTATTATTATAATCAGATTTTTCCCATCCTGTTATTTGTAGGGAAAATTTGTGTTATCTTGTGTGATTTTACAATATGACAGTCTCAGGAAAAGGATCATTTTCAATGGCAATTCTTCCGCAAATAATTCTAGATGAGTCAGAACCACATCTTCTTCATTGAGTGCTATATTCATTCTATGGGACTTCTTGTTTAAAGGTACTTATCAAACTTTAAGACTCTAATTTGAAACAAAGCCTTCAAGCTGCACTCTACTCACAATAGAAACTTCACAGAGTAGCAGAGTTGTCGTTAGAGAATGATAATTAATATAGCTGTTTCATTCTTATAACTCCTTTGGTGTCACAGCCAGGCACTGCTGTTCAGTTCATAGGAATTGTATCTTTACACACTTTTCTTTATTACAAATCTGCCAATAACTACTTAAACAGGCAAATACCTGAAGATATGTTACTTCTTTTCCTAGCTTTTAATTCACTTTCACTGGGATAGTCTTGCAGATTGTGGGGCAGTCCCTTCGGGCAAACATTTACCCTAGGAGGCCCTCACTAGATGTATTCTTTCCCCTTTTGGAAGATATTTGTACAATTTTAAAGTATATAAATTGTGAGGACAGAATTTGCAGGTTGTTTTAGTTACCAGCATATACCTTGTTTTTCTGGCTTATGATGTGACACTGTGAAGTTACTCCATAGGAAAGTAAACAGGATTTTGCAGCAGTAGCTTGTTTACATATACAAGAGTACTTATTGATAAAGTGTCTATAGAATTGTTAAAATAAAACCGATTCCTATAACATTTTTTCTTTTGTATTTGTTTAAACACTAAATTCTTTCAATATAAAAAATATATAAATTAGGGCCAGGGATGTAGCTTAGCAGTACAGCACCTGCTTGGCAAGCATAAGGCCCTAGGTTCAATTCCTGATTCAAAAAAAAAGTATATATATATATATATATAATATACATGTATATATTATATATATAAAATAATTGAAGACTAATATTCAAAGGGCTATAGAAAGATACCATATAAAACAATTAAATGATTAAGCTGTGTCATTTGAGTAGGTTTAAAATCTCAGAAGACAAAATAAGTAAGGCAACTTTGGGTAAAAATGTTCTCAAGTCTTGCTCAAAGGCACCCCGCTTAGGGGATGAGTGAGATCTGTGCCAGCATAAAGCAAGGGTACAATGCACAGGAACTAGACCTAAATATTCAGTGTCAACATGTGTGTAAATAGAGGCCTGCAAAATAAGCTAAGATGATTTTTGGAGTATGAAACACATTACAGAAGATACAATTAATTCAGAAGTCAGAAGCTTAGCAGTGTAATGTATTAAACATTTTGAAGTACTTCATTTAGGTTTCGTGTCCACTGCAAGGAAAGTCAATTGTATTTTCAGCAAGGTAGAATTTATTCCACAATGGGCTGAGATAATTTTAAATGTCACATAATATGTAATCATACCTATGGGAAGTAATTCAGAAACTTCTTTGTACCTCACTTTAACTGGAGGCTAGATCTCCCTCAAAGGTAGCACCTCCCTTGCATTCTCTAAAAGTTGCAGTGTTTTTTCCACCTGGATCCTGGTATCATGAGGTCTGCAGAAGAATTATGTGAGATCTCTGCACCTCAGTCATTTCTAGATCATTGTTTTTCCTTATTCCTCAAAGAACCCAGTTTTGAAGCTCATTGGGTAGGATTTTTCCTCTTCCACACTTGGTTATTGTTGTCTCTGGAGGCTTGATTTGCATTCTTTCTGTTGTAAAGATCTTGGCTCCTGTTTCTCTGTGACTGTCTCCACCATTACTGTGCACTATTTTTGGCAAAGTCAGTGTCCATATGGCTGATCTTTCTACTCTTTCAGCTTTTAGTTCCTGACACGTCTCCCCTCCTATGTTCGCCATCCTATATTCACCATCCTATTTCAACTGTCTACTTCCGCAGACATTAAATAACCACTGTACAATCTCAGTCTCAAGAATCCTACTGTATAAAAGGTGACGTATGAAATTTTACTCTCCAAGATTGTAGAAATTTAAGACAATGGTGATAAAAATCCTATTATATACCACAAAGCCTATAACAGGTCCAAATATTTTTTAAAAACACTGTATCATCTCCTAT